TCGAAATTCTGTGATTTTAGTTACATAGCTGCGTGTTCTTAATACTTGAACATGGAAACCGTCTAAGTTGTTTTTGGAATTATATGACTTTAACTTTAGTTTATTGTGATTTTACTTTGATTTTATTGGTATTTAAATTTATAGTAGATATATTTAGTTTATTTTAGATTTATTGCCACTAAGATATAAATATATATTGAATTAATGGCATAAAAGTAGACACTAGACAGGCAAAAAAATATACGCGAAACCGACGATTTAAAATTGGACCAAACGTTAGGTTTATGTTTGAATTTTTTTCAAACCAATCAAAACGGTTTGATTTAGATTTGAGTTTTTCTCAAACAAATCGAAACGGTTTGATTTGAAAATTTGTCAAAAACTGGTAAAACCGAACCACTTACACTCCTACTAACAATTGCAATCTCCGGTGAGACGTGCTCAAAGCTGGCTTGATTAGAATTCATTGAATACAAGAGTATGTTTGGCTAAGCTTAAATATTTATTCACTCATAAGTAAATAAGTAATTTTCTTTATTGAACAGAATTGAAAATAGTTAGTTATTTTGAGAATGAGCTAAATTATCCAAACATGTTTAGCAACAGAATGTTAAATTTTACATAAAAGATGAGCTTAGCAAAACATGCTATCTTGAGAACAATGCAAAGACTATCAACAGTAATTGCAGCTGCACTGCCAAATATCATTATTCAAAGTAAGGAATTTCATGTTGTGCTGATCCGAAAACCACCCGAAATTCTAAATAAATGGAATGCTGCTGATAATTTCAAGAAGAAAAAAAGTACATAGCCTGCAATCTAGTACACATCAACTATTCTCAATTACATCCTGTGCAGCTAGTCGAGCTCGAGCTCTACAGAAGGCGAAACACTCCACGAGAATTGTAGGGATTCCGTCGGCATCTTCCCAATATCTAGGAAACTAAGACAGAGAATAAGAAATTAGTGTCCAAGCATAAACCATCCATATAAAAGTTAGCCGTAGTGAACTCTTTTGGCATATTTGATAAGGTGAACTCGACAAGACTTAACATTATAGAAGAAGAATAAAAAAATAAAATCTTATTATAATTCGTACCAATATGCATATTCTTGTTATGATAGCAGCCAAATACACCAATTATCACTTCAACTATTATTGAAACTCAGAGTTGTCCCTTGCCCAATTTCAGTCGTGCTAATAAGTTAATTATTCCCAATTGACCAGAGCTACCCCATACTAAGATATCAAAATCCCACAGATTGGTAAATGGGGACCCAATGCAAAAGATTCAAATGCAACACGAAATTACACCTTTCAATAGTTAAATTCAGATAAGTTAAATAACAGTCTTTATTTGAATTGCAGAAAGTTAAACAGCAAATATCCCTTATTCCTTTTACTCCATTTGTGCTCACCTAGTCAATAACAGGACTTATAAAACATGGAACCCTCTAATAATGTTTGGGAAACACTACACGGCCAAAGAGAATTGATTATATGCTATTCAAATACTGTAACACAAATTAATTAGTGAAAGAATGAAATCAGTAGCATAGAAACCAATAGGATGCCTATAGCCCCTGTTTGGCACCCATTCTGTTCTCATTCTCATTCTCTTTTTTCATTTCAACCACACATTCTCCAAATAAAATAATATTACACAAAAATCTAAAACTTTTCATCACTTTTTCATCACACATTCTCCCATCGATCAATATTCCAAAATTTCTCATTCTCATAAAATGGGTGTCAAACATAGTGATATTTATAATCAATAGAGAGAGCAATATAATTAATGCAAAATAATGGCACACATAAATAGTTATTACAAATAAAACCAATATGAAACAGGAATGCGTTTCCTACAATGTGGAGCACAAGATGACTTCGACACTCTTCAGTGATTTTACTTGCACAGAGAACTCTATACTAGAATCACACTTGTGATTCACAATATACCTCATCTGCTTCTGATTACCATTTCCTGCCAAATTACTGGGGAATAATACTAAGAAAATTAAATAATGTTATTTAGCAGTACTTCGAATTCCCTGTAGTTTCCTTTACACATTTCCCTTCAACCACAAAAATAACTCAGCAATTCCAGACTACTACAAAATCAGCAAGCCAAGAAATAAAACTATCACAGCTTGTGAGTATCTCTGTTTTAATGTAAACGAGGAGGCAATCTTCTCTACTAATTTAGGTTGCATATGAATTATGTCAACCCACCATCTGCCAATGGATTTAGCCAACCAAATAGCTGCAGCCCATTTTCCTCTCTACTCATCAAGATGCACCTTCAGTTACTTTTTCTTCAATATTTCTGATTTTTCTAGGGACATTTAATACTGCTTCTTTGATAACAGAAACAATAACGACACAAATATGAGTATATTGACGATCTCTAACTCCTACAATTCGAATGTGTAATTTCAGCATTCAATGCATATTCCTGAATAACCTCAATTTTCAATTATTCAACAATTTCATTTTACCTAGTTCAATGATAGCCGAATTAGTCATTTATTTGTTTCAATGCAACAAGAGATGTTAATTTTAACTCTACTCTTGGTATCCATATGGTTCTTTCATTAATACCTTCCGCCTATCTACGATGTTATTGATTTATCCTTTTTTATTGTTTAGATATATTTTGATTTGTTTTATGGTCTTTTGAAAAGTCCATTTTGTTGGAAGCAACATTTCTTCTAAATTAATTTTAGTTACAAAAAAATATTTTTGATTCACTTCTCTACCTTTTACGATATGCATATTTTCTGTAATACAAATCTATCAAATCAGTTCTCACATTGAAAATGTAGACAAAAGAAAGATTTTGAAGTTCTCATAATGTATGGAAGTGACCGAATTTCATGGTTGCGATTGTGCTTCCATGCAATACTAAGTATTTTCCGAAGCATGTTTTGTAAGCTTACTCATAAATAGAAGTGTATGTCAGTTAATAAGTGTCATTAATTCTGCATGGCTTTTGCAATCCCACCATGCAAAAAGAAGACTTAAATAAACGAAACAAAATTTTAAATTAGATACCTTTGGCATGGCTTCTCCTGATTACTTAAAATTCTTCCCAATTATTTTTTTATCCCAATGACGTTTTCCTATATATGTTTTATTTCATCATGTTGCAAGAAAGAACATATATAGCTTTAGTGGCTAATACTAGAGTTAGAATATTATAGAAATGTCTGGCCCATGTCTAAAACTCTCTCTCTCTCTCTTTTGCCTTTGACATTATAGGCAAGCTTCTTTGGATTAGGACATTTTCAAGAATTAGACAGACTGAATTTTCAGATTATGAGGTTTTCCAATTCCTGATAAAACTATTATCAACCTTCAAGCAAATAGGTAATCTCACAATAGTTCTATTTTATCTCATGAAGGATAGAGGGAAAGGTGTAAAATCAAAAGATTGCGACGCCATACTTAGTGATCTGTACTAGACCCTGAACTAAACATACCAATTAGCATTTCACTAGATGGAACTACTGAAAAATTATGCTTTGTATCAATAGAGTTGTGAATCTAGGAATCTGTGTATCGATAGAGTTATGAATCTAGGAATCTGGTTGAACAGAGGAGCTTCGGGTAAATAATGAATATAAAAACATCAATAAATCAAGTCAAGTATTTTCTTAAAATTGGTATATTGAGTCATCCCACGCAGGACAGATATTCTGTCACTTCATCCTGATTTATTGTAATAGTTGCTCAATAATATCTTAGATTTTTATTTTTTTGGGGTTTGAGAACTGCGGGTGGGGAAATAGGGCTGGCTGCTGTAGTTTCGATACTTGCATGACCAACTGTTGGGGAATGGAAAAGTCTACAACTTAAGTGGTATAGAAGTACGTATTTTCAATTTTCGTTGTCATTTCTTTATTACGTTCTCCTACATACCAGGAATTAGGTCTATGCTACTATCCAAATATTACAGGACTAGGCAACCCAAACAAATACTATTAATATTGTTTATGTACAACTAGGTTACCACAGACCAAAAATAATTTTACTAAGTAGTTTCTTCACTAAAGTTTTGTGTCACCACTTGTGTTGCTTTAGCGTTGAACGACGCCAGAACAAAATAATCATCAAAACATCAGCATCGTGAGGCATACAGATTTAATACAGTATGTTTACAAAACACGGGAACCAATAGAATAAAATATGACAATAACACCTCTTGATGCACAAGTAACAAGAAAGCCAATAACCATGATTGATAAACTATTTGTCACTGATCATAATACATTGCTACAACATATGAAACAAAAGCAAACAAGAGAAGCACTCAAATTTACTACGAAACATTTCCATCCCCTTCAAGGAGTGCTTTCCTGTCTTAAAAGGACTCGTGCTATGAAAGAGTTAAAGTACCTTCATCAACCCCTTAGATTGTCCTCAGAAACATCAGTATTATCGTTGTCATCATCCTCATCATCTTCAATATCTTCGTCATCATTGTCATCATCATCATCATCCATTTCTCTTACTTCAGCAATTTCAGCCTGCGCACGCTCAACAATCTGCTTCTTCTGCAACTCCAACTCCCTCTGAAAATCTCGCCTCATCTTCTCCAACTCCATCATTTGCTTCCTCTTACTGTCCTCAATCTTCTCATATATCTGTCCAAACCTCTGAATAGACTCTGCCAACAAGTTAGCCGACTCTGCACCTTCCTCCTCATCTCCTAAACCTTCCTCCTCATCATCCTCCTCGTCTGACTGCCCTGGACTGTCCCTCATTTCATCCAACAAATTAGACCTATCCAAGTACACCCGCGGATTCATAAACACATACTCCCCTGAATCGATCCCACACCCCAACCCACAATGGCCTCTAGTCCTCATATTCAACAAAACATCCATTTTCTTGAAAAACACCCATTTGCTCGCTTGCCCAATTTCCATTTTGACCCTCTCTTTCTTATACTTGTTCTTCAGCACATCCAACTGGCTCCTACACTCCATCTCTGTTCTCTCAACTCCACTCATCTCCAACACCTTCTCAGCAACCTCGACCCAATCCTCCGTCCTTAAACTCCTCCTCCCTAACTCCATATACCTTTCCCCCCAAACCTCCAACAACACAAAGCTCTCCTCCTCGCTCCACATTCCCCTTTGAGGCACAAACTCATAGTTCGAGACGAAAGACTCCAACTTTCTTTTCTTGGGGTGCCTCTTGGATTCCTCGTGATTATACAATTGCCCATTTTCAGCAACATTTTGATATGTCGTCTCTTCATCTTCATCAAAAGCATTGTCTTCAAATTCAATTTCGTTCTGGGTGCTGTACGAATGGGGAATAGAGTTTCTCATTAAAACTTGATCTAGAAATTCAGTGGTGGTCCCTTTGGCAGGATTTTTGTATATAAATACGTTAAAACGGATACAATTACAGGAATTGAAAATAAAACGCTAATTTGGACCGATAATTTGAGTTTTTATGTGAAAAATCTGGGTTTTTTTTCCTGAATTATAGTAGTGAGGATGAATTACTTTTCTAATTGAACTAGGATTTTATGATCTTCATGTGGAATTGTTTGCAAAGTTGAACTGTGGATAAAAACCAGGTCGAAGATCGATACCATCCTAGTTTTGTAAGTTTTAGGGTTTTGCAGTTGAAACGGGATAAAATGGAGTATTTCGGGTGGATAAAAGTCCAATTTTCTTATATTGGGGAAGTCATCCACGTTTGAGAGAAGTTTCATTTTAGCCACTAATATTTTTCTTTTCCAAAATCAATGTTGAAGTTTTAAACTTTTAGTTTGGTTACTAATAACGATATTGTGAATATTTTTTCTTATGTGACAGATAGATTTTCAAGTGTGGATCATGTAGATATTGATGGAACTCGTAAGTCGTCTAACATTGCAATAATTGCGTCTTTCATCTTGTACAAATTTATAATTGTTCTTTGAATTCATTAAACATTTTTTTTCAATATCGTAACATTCGTGTTAAGAAAGAAGAGTTTGTATCCTCGTCTAGTGCATAAAATTAATTTCAAGAAAATTTCACATGAGAAAATTCACTTAAAATTATCTCATTGATTCCTTCTTATTTAATTGATGGTGAAATAACTTACGTAAGAGTGGTCGAATAAATTTTAGTGTATTACAAAGATCATGATTGTACAGAACTTCATAACATCTCAACTCCAGTAATCTCCGTTGACAACTTGATTTCTCCCACTTCTCATCTCTCAATAGCTCTAATTGGGATCGTATTAATGGTACAAAAAGTTGGATTATGTTCTGAGTTGAAATCTATTATGTCATCGGTGCAAATGGGAAGACAAAAATGTGACATTACATTGTACAGTATTGGCATCTTTCAATTTACGGATAAGTGAAGAAGAGACAAAAAATAAAAAAATAGTAGAGGGCCCGGATTGCAAGCAGAAAAAAAAATCTCAACTCCCAACCACTAATGATGGTGGTCGAGTAATATAAAGGCACAACACAATTTATGAAAGTTTTGGTCAAAGCACGAAGAGAAAAAAAAACATTATCCTGGTTTGAATAGAAAGACTTGATTGTATAGATTTTGAACAGGGAAGAGGATTGAAAGAGAATACGGAAGTAAAATAGATGAAGCCATGATTGTTCTTGACAAGGGTATATTTCATAATTTATATTAGATAAAATTAGGGTGAATTATATATTTTTGTTAACTATATAATTGCAACGAATGCTTCTAATATTTCCTTATTTTTTAATTTATGCCTCTATTTATTTTCCTTACATTTTTATACTCAACCTTGTATTAATTTGCACATCTTGTTTCTAATTATTATTTTCGTCCAAAAAAAAAAAATCGTTAATGGAGCATAAAAAACCTTATTTGTCACTCGTATTTTAAATAAACCAAATAATTTCAATGCACATTAGTGTACAATTTGAACAAAAATCATAATTAGCGTACTATTTCAAGCTTTTAATTAATTCGAAATATAAACTTATTTTTGCCAAATTATGTGTTATTTATTTTATTTTATTTTGTACATCAGGTTCGATTCTAGTTCAACCATGGATTCTACAATATCCGAGCCAGTTTTCAAAATATTATTACCAAAAGGAGAACACAAGTCAAAATCAGAAATCGCGCGAATAAAGTAACAACACTGTCAACACGAGCAGCAAAATTGATGAACCCATCAAAACTCACCTCCATCACACCTATATATATATAGCAAAATAATTTTTACAAAATTCGATGTCTACTATACACCCACGAACCTCCCACTATGACTTGGCTCAAGGTCACTCGCCTGAGCGCACAAGCACATAAAAGAGAGCTGTACAGTATGCTATACACAAGTTTCAAAAAAAAAAAATGTAGCCCCGAAGGCATAACGAGGATCATGAGTGAAACTTCCTTGGTGCAGAACACTCAGATTAATCTGGTTCGAAAGAACAAACTTTATTGAGTGAAGGACATGCATTATCACTGATCCGGCTTTCCATTTGAATCTGATGTGACTGGGGATGGAGGTTTTGATTGACTAGGTTGTGGCGGTGGAGCTGTCAGCGAATAAGGCATCATCCTGGATGAGGAACTTTCAATAAGACCAGCAACGCCAGCCGCTGAAGTTTGAGCATTTGAAGGAAGAAAAAGATCGTGTTTCTGATCTTTATAAGCACTCCAAACCTGTAAATACGATTTATCATGTAAGCAATTGACGACAAAAACATTGAAGAACTCTAACTACACATTTTTTCTACTAAATTGAATCAGATGAGAGTTAACAAATACATGGGGTAGGTACTAGGAAATGATAAGAATTTTGAATCATCGAAACCACATTCAACATGGAAATGTAAATTATTCATCAAGCAGAATCCAAGTTTCGGGTTAAGGAAGCTACAAGGAAACATAGATGAGAAAAGCAATTGGCCAGAGTGGAATCCAGTTGAATCTGGAAGTGTCTGGTAATGTGGGTATTTTATAGTTGACGTGATTAATCAATAAAACATTAAACCAGAAAAGGTGTGTGACAAATAGAGAAATATTGTTATAGTGCCTAGTTTTAAGAAATATAGGTAAACATGCGAGAAAGTGATTGTTCACATCAACAACTCTACTAAAATCGCTCAAATAGTATACAATTCATATCCCCATTCTGTCATGATACAACTTGTTTATACGACACAAACTACGAGGGCATGAATTCTCTTTTACTTGCTAGGTCTACCTAATGCCAACTGAATATCTTCATTCAATTTCGTCATTATTCACTTGACAATTTCGCATCCAAGCTAATGGACAATAAGTACAATCAAACCCCTGCCCTGCTCTCCTCAAACTTGACAAGATCAAAAAAAAGTTGTCATAAAAACTTCTTTTGTATTGAAATGTCAACCAGGATTAAGTTTGACATGGTGGTTGTAACATGAGCACACAAAGACGAGGAGTCATTACTTACATCAGAGGAATTTAGCATGTCACGCACTTTGGTACAGTGGGCCCCTTCTGTTGCAAATGCATGTAGAACCTAGATCAACACAAATTTTTATAAGAGTTATGCCCATAAAACTCAAAAGAAAATGTTCCATGAATGTGAAAGAATGGTGCAATTTGGAACTTCTTGAGCAGCATAAAAGTATAAACAATAGATGAGTTAAAACTTCTGCAGATGATAATTGTTTTTTCATTTCTTTCTATGCAGTACAAGGATAGTATCATATAAGTTGAACTTCAAATCTATTTACTATTGTATGTTCATCGATTCACAACAAAGAAAACAATAAATTCTGAAGGAGTAGGGACACATTTACAAAAAATGAACCTCAAATAACTTAAGCTTTTAGATCAAATAGTTCAACATGGTATCAGAGTAGGCATACTGGCGAAGGTCGTGGGTTCAAGTCTCGCTGCCATGCATTTAATGAAATTTTTCAAGTTACGTGCTTGATGAGGATAAAATATCGCCTAAATGTGAGGTGCGTGTTGACGAAAAGAATTAAATTATAGTCTACCTTTTAACGGCTTAAGCTTTTAAATCAAATGTTTCATCGCACCAGAAAACAAAGGTCCCTTTCCAAAATAAATATTTCCAACATGAATGGGATCCATCAAGCCTCAATTTAATATTACTCTACAAGTCAGCAAAGATATAACCAAGAATAAAATTCATATTGCTCTTTTACTTCATAATATACCAAAGCTCGAAAGATTATATAACTTAAATCTGTGATGCAAAAGGCACCTAACTAGGATGAACTATCCATGTCTAACAAGCATTGAACATGTACTACTCAGATATTCCAGGGCACATGATTATTTTTATCTCATTTGCACTAATATGGAAGGTACAGCCCGACGTTAATTCAACATATAGTAATTCCTGGCTCTAATTCAAAAGATTTTCATCTGCAAAATTCAAAATTAAAGCTAAAAAGTGTAGCCCCTGTTTGACAACCTTAAAACAAAACTCTTTTTTTCTCAAACTCATTCTCAACCATAAATTCTCACAATAAAATATTTGCACGTAAACCCAAAACATTCTCTACTTGTTATAGGGGCTTACTTCTATTGAAGAATAAAAAGGCATAAAAAATATGATACGTATAAAAGAATTTTGTAATCAACATGTCCATGTCCCAAGTTTTTGAAGTAACGTGTCTAACATTCGGTGTAATCGGTGTCCTGTGTTGTGCGACTTAAATCTTCAAACTGATGAAGAAATAGAAAAGATCTCAAAACGAAGTTGAGATCTCTGAGAACAAAAGATAAAAATAAAAAATAAAAAGAATCCAAAAGCATTGTGAACTACTCAATTTCCACGCCTTACAACCAAGTTCATTGATTCACAAATAAGAAAACAATGCTGAACTTCACAAAGAGGGCAGGAAAATTAACAGAAAGTGACTGAAATATTTGAAGCTTCCAACCATCTAAAAATGCGTACAGAAATTTACGATAGTCTGACCTCAATTGCAAGAACTCGGCTAATTGATGCTTCTGACTCATTCCAGTTCATCAGCGAAGAAAGTCCATTTCTTCCCCCAGCTCTCCAATCAAGAAGGCCAAGAAGAACATCGACGAGGCCAACCCTGCAGTGGTGATAATTTATATTACTATTACGTGGCAGGAATAAGATAAAATATTAGTTTCTTCAAGATGCATGTCTAACCTAATTTATTTTATTTTAAATCAAACAAATTCAACCCAAGCTTTCTGTAATCCTCCTATAACATACAGGTGCCAAACCAGCTAATGGAAAGGTGTTACAGTGTTTCCTTAACAAAGTGGGTCCACCTCCCAATATTTGGTCAACTTTATACCATGCTCCAAAGTCCACTAATCGAAGGTTT